GCACCATCAACAGCAGAAGCACTAGCACCATCAACAGCAGAAGCACCAGCACCATCAACAGCAGAAGCACCAGCACCATCAACAGCAGAAGCACCAGCACCATCAACAGCAGAAGCACCAGCACCATCAACAGCAGTAGCACCAGCACCATCAACAGCAGAAGCACCAGCACCATCAACAGCAGTAGCACCAGCACCATCAACAGCAGAAGCACCAGCACCATCAACAGCAGAAGCACCAGCACCATCAACAGCAGAAGCACCAGCACCATCAACAGCAGAAGCACCAGCACCATCAACAGCAGTAGCACCAGCACCATCAACAGCAGAAGCACCAGCACCATCAACAGCAGAAGCACCAGCACCATCAACAGCAGAAGCACCAGCACCATCAACAGCAGAAGCACCAGCACCATCAACAGCAGAAGCACCAGCACCATCAACAGCAGAAGCACCAGCACCATCAACAGCAGAAGCACCAGCACCATCAACAGCAGTAGCACCAGCACCATCAACAGCAGAAGCACCAGCACCATCAACAGCAGAAGCACCAGCACCATCAACAGCAGAAGCACCAGCACCATCAACAGCAGAAGCACCAGCACCATCAACAGCAGTAGCACCAGCACCATCAACAGCAGAAGCACCAGCACCATCAACAGCAGAAGCACCAGCACCATCAACAGCAGAAGCACCAGCACCATCAACAGCAGAAGCACCAGCACCATCAACAGCAGAAGCACCAGCACCATCAACAGCAGAAGCACCAGCACCATCAACAGCAGAAGCACCAGCACCATCAACAGCAGAAGCACCAGCACCATCAACAGCAGAAGCACCAGCACCATCAACAGCAGAAGCACCAGCACCATCAACAGCAGAAGCACCAGCACCATCAACAGCAGAAGCACCAGCACCATCAACAGCAGAAGCACCAGCACCATCAACAGCAGAAGCACCAGCACCATCAACAGCAGAAGCACCAGCACCATCAACAGCAGTAGCACCAGCACCATCAACAGCAGTAGCACCAGCACCATCAACAGCAGTAGCACCAGCACCATCAACAGCAGTAGCACCAGCACCATCACCAGCAGCAACCAATCGCTCCATCGCTCCCTTCCACACCCACTGAGTTCGCGCTGCTGGGATGGGATGGGTATGGGGAGGAGACGAGTAGGTACAGAGGTGAAAGCGGCAGGGAGAGAAAGTGAGCGAGCAAACGCAGGGCACAACGGGACAGCAGGGGTATTGAAGCAATCACAGTAAACGCGAGAATGCGAAACGAGTGTGCAAACCAAAACAGTGGTTGGATGGGTTTTGCAAACCAAACCAAACGAGTGTGCCACAGCTGTACCGAGTTTTGCTCTTCAAGTGATGCTCTTTGAGTGTTGCTCCTCACGTGATGCTCTTGAGTGCTCCACTCCTCTTGTCTTGGAACAAGGGCATGGGCTGGTGAGAATGAGAAAAAAGGATACGGGATGAAGAAAACTGGTCGAGGATGGAATAAAGCCCTGGAAAAAGATCAAAAGCGACAAATGAAGCAAAGGCACAAAAAACAGGAAGAATTCAAAAGTGAAAACAAGGTGGAAGGATGCAGTGAAAACAGAGAGGCGATGGTAGCCCATGGCACTAGGTTGGTGAGCTAGCGGGCAAGGGGGACGAGGTAAGAAGGAGACGCGGGCGTGAGTGTGAGTGCATTCTAGTCCCCTAGGACTCTAGTGTGAGCTCAAGCCGCCCCGGTGCCATGCGCTACCATCGCCACATGCCAGAAATCCCAAGTCAAATTTTTGCACCTCCCATGCGGAAATGAAGTTTTGGTTATGAGCATTCGGTGAGAGAACAACGCATTACGAAAATGAACCAAAGACAGAAAGCGGTCAGGATGGCAAGAGGGTGAGCGAGGGGATTGGAAGGTGACTTAGCAGCGATACGACGAGTTGAGAGACGGAAGCAGCAGCAGTCTCTCCCAGCAGCAGCCCTCCCAGCAGCAGCAGCGCCAGTGGAGCTCGTTTGGCGCGTGAAGAAGTGGCGTGGTCAGCAGGGCATGCAGGACGCAGCCCGTGCGTCATCCCACTGCCCTCCCTCCTGGAACAAGGGCATGGGCTGGTGAGAGGGAGAATAAAGGATACGGGATGCAGGAGGGAACTGGTCGAGGATGGAATAAAGCCATGGAAAAGGATCACAAGCGACAAATGAAGCAAAGGCAGGGAAAACAGGAAGAATTGAAAAGTGAAAACAAGGCGGAAGGATGCAGTGAAAACAGAGAGGCGATGGTAGCCCATGGCACTAGGTTGGCGAGCTAGCAGGCAAGGGGGACGAGGTAAGAAGGAGACGCGGGCGTGAGTGTGAGTGCATTCTAGTCCCCTAGGACCCTAGTGTGAGCTCAAGCCGCCCCGGTGCCATGCGCTACCATCGCCACGCGCCAGAAACCCCAATTCAACTTTTTGCCCCTCCCATGCGGAAATGAAGTTTTGGTTACGAGCATGCGGTGAGAGAACAACGCGTTACGAAATGAACCAAAGACAGCAAGCGATAAGGATGGCAAGAGGGCGAGTCAGGGGATTGAGAGGTGACTTAGCAGCGCTACGACGGGTTGAGCGACGGAAGCAGCAGCAGTCGCTCCCAGCAGCAGAGTGACTCCCATCATCAACGGCACTCCCAGCAGCACCCCTCCCAGCAGCAGCAGCGCCAGTCGAGCTCGTTTGGCGCGTGAAGGAGTGGCGTGGGACAAGGAAATAAGTTGGTCCAGCAGGAGGCGCGTTGAACAGGGAATATTTGAAACAAGGCAGAGACAAACGTTTTGGTTACGAGCATGCACTGAGAAAACGAAGCGTTAAGAAAGTATAATTAAAGACAGAAAGCGATAATGACGGAAAGGGATCGGGTAAGGGGTTGAAGAGGGGACTTAGCGGCATGAGGGGTTGCTGAGCGACGGTAGCAGCAGCCGGCGTTCCAAGACGCAACAAGATGCATCGCCGTCGCCGTCGCATTGAGCGTCGTATTCGCCTTCACCACCATCGATCGTCGCCGGAAATCTTCGAAACTTTCCGTCTCAGTCGTCACAAAAACGCTGCCTCGATCGCCAGCATCAACCAACACGTCGCAGTCGCCAGCCTTCCACCATTCTGCCTTGATCGTCTACATCTCAGTCGGCAACGTGAGATTCCGCCGTCTTGAAGTCGCCTCGTCCCCGTCAGAACTCGCAGTCAGCACGAATCGTCGCCGTAAGATATCGCGATCTCAACATCAGAATACGCCGTCCTAATCGTACGATCCCTAAGACTCGCCATGGCAGTCATGAAAGAGATTTCGCGTCTCAATCGTCATCCAGCCAACGTGAGCCGGCAACGTGAGCTTGCGTCTCAATGTCCAACCGTCACCGTCTGGAACTCTGCAGGCGCATGATATCGTCGCCATCAGAACTCCGCAGGCGCATATCGTTGTCATCAGAACTCCGCAGGCGCATATCGTTGTCATCACAACTCCGCATCGGAATCGCCCTGGTCACCAACTCCATCAGACCTCTCCGCTTCGGTTTCGCCTTTCGCCGTCAACGCAGCTGTCGTCATCAGCGTGAAACCTCCCCGTCATCGTTGGAAGATCGTCACCGTCGAATCTCCATGAGACTCGGCACCAAGATCAGAAAACGTCAACCGTCACCATCAGAAGATTATCGTCACCCTCAGAACTCCCAGAAGTACCACTTTTCACCACCAGAAGACTTTGATCGTCACCGTTAGAGCTCCTCGTCGGAATATTCACCGTCAGAAATGTTCGATTGTCGCCTTCATCAATCTCGTCAACAGAACTCGCCGTCCAAAGAAACCGTCTCGTATCACCGGTTCCGATGTAATAAATTCTCGAATTTCTCGCCGCGGTGCACATGAACGGCGTCAGACTGAAAGAGGCAAAACAAAGAACCGGATTCACCTCATGAAACTTCACACGTCACGAACCGCATCCGACAGCCTTCTGCAGAAATTACTCAATACTAGGATCACCATGATGCTTCGGAAAACGACCTGATACTAGTGGCACTAGATCATTCACAAATACGATTGTGACTATGATTGCGATAACGGTATACGACAGGCACGTACTAGCGAGCCGTGGGAATCCACGGATATCGCTAGACCATGAAACTCAAATAGAGGTGCTCTGAATGGATAGAGAAACCACAAGAGATACTAAAACCTGGCTGAGATTAGATTAAAATTAATACCTAGTCAATGGTTGGTAGCGGAACTTCAGGCGACAGCCATGGATTCTAAGATACCGAACGAGACTATGTCCGAGCGAGAACTTATAAGGAATGACATTTAGCCAGTGGTTAGAGAAGTTCAGTGAAGCAGTTCAGGGGATTAAGAGAGATCCAGAGCGGTTTTCAGGGATTCACTGGAGGGTGAGACGAATGGCTGAAGCAGGCATCCGCTCCCCATTCCCTGCTTTGGTGCAGGCCGCCGCACCGTCGGCGGACAGCCTCATTTTCGTGATTCGTGAACCAAGAGCCTCTGCCTTTCGCTTGGGGGATTCTTGATTAGCGATTTTTTTGGGCAGGTTTCGTGAGCATAGTTACAGCATCTCCGCAGCGCGGGTGTATCATGGTTCCGCCTGTTTGCGCGGGAAAAAGTTCCATATGTCTGACAGACGCTCATCGCTGTTCCATGCATGGAGTCGGGTCGGGTGATCCAGCGGATGAGCTGAACTTCAATATTAGTGCAATGCGTCTACACGAATAGGAAGTTATTATAAACTGCGAAACACTTTAACTAGATGGATATCCTGAAAAGACACTGCTTGTAATAGCAACGAAGTGCTAAACACTCTTCTCCTAAAGAAGTGGGGGCAGAAGCCATTTGGCCTCTACTCACGATTTCGTTTGAAATTTCAAAGGTTTTACTTCCCGCCCACCCATCCACACTGTACTAGTTGGATGAGTGCACTCATCCCATCTGAGCGTCACTACACTACACGACTACGCAAGCAACGGGCTCTCCCTCATACAAAGATCACTTCTAGCCGAGCACAGGGGTGTGCAGTCACATGCGCCACCACCTGAGACGAGTTCCGGAACCACGCCTCACCCCACAACGCCTCTCTCTGCGTCGAACCCGCCGGGTATATCCGATAGATCTTCAAAGCCCATGCCTTCTCATCCCCTCCGAGCGACGCCGGCCGCTTCCCCACCCAAACCGGCCGGTGCGTTTTTTTCTGAAAACTCCGTCTTATCGCTAACGTGAGTCCTCTTATAGTGAGGTGGTCACTGCGCAGGAACACTGACGTGAAGTGGAACGTCCCCCGTTCTCTCACATACAGGTGGTATACCACCAGCTTCTCCCCTTCTCGTTTCCCCGGCGCCTCGCACCGGCACGGGCGGCGGGTTTTCGCAGCATCCAGGTCCTTTCTCCGGATCCGGTCGGCGAGGAAGATACAGAGGCGGCAGGAGGAGTGAACAGCTGATAAGTCCATGTTGGCAATAAACGCCTGGGAAGGCCCGTCTTTCTTCCACGCGAGCATCTCATCATATGCTGTCTGGTTACCAGCGAGCGTAACCATCTGCTGTGCCACCCGTGGCACATCCTCCAAAGATTTGATTTCGAAATATGAGTTTGGGGAAGGGGCGAAATCGGCGATGTTGGGGGCGCCGATGACGACGGGGATAGAGCCGGCAACGAGGCACTGCCAGTACTTCTCGGTGACGTAGTCGGCTTCACAAGTGTTTTCAAAGGCGAGGGAGAAGAAGTGTTGAGCTAGTATGGGTAGCTTGTCGGTCTCGTATGGCATGTTGTTGAGACAACGGCCGTACGAATGCACCTCCATGTGCCGACTGAGCTCCTTCACTGCCTGGGATAATGGGAGGTGACAGAGAGTGAGAGGGAGTGAGGGAGAGTGAGAGAGAGTTAGCAAAGTGGGGGGTGAGGAAAGGCTGTGAGGCACTGCCAGTACGTCTCAGTGACGTAGCCGGCTTCGCAGGTGTTTTTGATCGCGAGGGAGAAGAGGAGTGCTGGGCCAGCACGGGCAGCTTGTCAAATTCGTACGGCATGTTGTTGAGACAGCGCCTGTATGAGTGCACCTCCATGTGCCAACTCAACTACTTTACTGCCTTGTAGAGGGAAGAGCGAGGGCGGCGGGGGAGGGTGCATAGGGGAGCAGAGCAAGGGCTGTGAGGTACCGCCAGAGCATTGTGGTGGCAGCTTGTCCGGTTCGTGCGGCATGTTGTTGACGCAGCGCCAGCACTTCCATGTGCCGACTTAGTTGCTGATGAATAGAGCAGCAGGAGAGGGGTGGAGAGAAGTGGAGGAGAGCGGTGGAAAGGGGTAGAGTGGGCTGCAAATGGCATCTCACCTCGAGCCTGGAACTGTTGGCGCGTCAGTTACTGATAGATGCAGCAGCGAGAGCAGAAAGAGAGGGCGGTGAGTGGTGGAGAGCGGTTAAGAGGGGTAGAGTGGCATCTCACTTCGAGTCTGAAGCTGTTGGCATGGCAGTTGCTGATAAAGGCAGCAGCGAGAGCCGAGGAGGTCTTGTTGACAGGCGGGCGCATGACATCATACTCCTCCCATGACCCGTACTGCACTGGCACGTCCGAATCGTAGTGCACTGTCATCACCACCTGTTGGTGTCACAGGGGAGACGGGAAGAGAGACAAGAGAGCAGGAGAGAGCAGGACGGAAAGGGCTGAACTAGAGGGCGCATGACGTCATACTGCTCCCATGACCTGTGCTGTACTTTGAGTCGACTCAAAACTTACTGGCACGTCTGAGTAGTAGTGCTCTAGGGTGTTTTTTAGCACACCCTGCATGACCTGTGCTGTACTGGCACGTCTGAGTAGTAGTGCTCTGTCATCACCACCACTCAGCTCACTGCCTCCCCACCACACGCACCCCTCCCTCCCACCCACCCCTGCTCCCTCACACTCATTGCATTTTCCCTGTTCGCCTGCCCCACCACACTCACCACGCCCATCCCATGCGCCCCTCACTCTCACGCACCGCATGATCCTTGCGCGCCCATGCAGGGTTGTTGCTCGCATAGTACCCCTGCGACTCCATGAATCGCAGCACCGCACCCCACCACACCCCACCAGAGCCCAGCCAATCTCACCACACCCCTCTCGCTCACAGCATGATCCTTGTGCGCCCATGCAGGGTTGTTGCTCGCATAGTACCCCTGCGACTCCATGAATCGCAGCACCGCACCCCACCACACCCCACCAGAGCCCAGCCAATCTCACCACACCCCTCTCGCTCACAGCATGATCCTTGTGCGCCCATGCAGGGTTGTTGCTCGCATAGTATCCCCGCGGCTCCATCGATCGCAGAACCGCCTTGTGCCGAGGCACGCCGCCCGCCAGGCTGGCATCCAGCTGCGCCGGGCGGCGCTTGCCGACCATCTCGCACGGCACGTCGCACGGGTACCTGCGGGGGGTCTGATGTGGGGGGGAGGTGAGGGGGGGAAGAGGGGGGTGGGGAAGAGGGGGAAGGGATGATAAGAGGGGGAAAGAGGGCACTTTCTGACCAGCTCACACAGCACGTCACACGGGTACCTGCGGGGGGTCTGATGTGGGGGAATAAGGGGGAGAGGGGGGGGATTGGGGGAAGGAGGATGGGTTGAGGGGGGGACCAGAAGGAAAAATGCTATCATGCTATCATGCGGACCACCCCCCTCCACTCATGGGTGGGTGGGTGGGTGGACGTACCTCATACGCCATCACTGCGATTGGCTGCTTCTCAAAGTCCCTCCCAAACGCCACGTCATCAGCCTCCTGCAGCCACGAGCGACACGTCAGCCCGTCAGGAGCGCCCTGCAGTGGGGACCACTCCGATGGCTCGTCCAATGGGGATTGCCAAACAGGCTCCCCCTCCCCTTCCCCCTCCTCCTCGTTCGCTTCCCCTCCCCCTCCCCCCCTGCCGCCTCCCCTGCCCTCACCTTCCCCCGCTCCCCCTTCCGCCATCCCCCCCTCGTCCATCCCCATGTCGTCTCCACTCCCCGTAAAGAACGTGTCCCCTCCCCCGCCCTCTCCCCCGCTCTCTCTCCCGCCCTCCCCGTCGGCCCTCCCCGCACCAGGCTTACCCTCCCCGCTCCCCCTATCCTCGTCTGCCTCCCCTTCCCCCCCCCTCCTCCGAGCGTCGTCCGTCCCCTCCCCCTCATTTACAATCACCTCCTGTCCGCTCTGCATCCCGTCCACCATCCAGTCATCATCACCGCTTCTCAGCTCCATGCCTTTCCGCTCCACTTCCTCCCCTCCGCCACCCCCGCCTCCCCCCCTCTCCTCATCCACTATCAGGGGCCGAGTCGTCTGCGTCCCATCCACCATCCAATCATCGTCGCCGCTCCTAAACTCCACGCCCTTCCGCTCCGCCTCCTCCCCCCCGCCTCCCCCGCGCCCTGCGCTCTCCTCATCCACTATCAGGGGTCGAGTCGTCTTAGTCCCGTCCACCATCCAATCATCGTCGCCACTCCTGAACTCCACTCCTTTCCGAGTCTCTTCGCGCGGCTCCGAGTCATCCTTTGCGTCGATGCCGCCGCCAGCGAACTTCCGCACCCACTTGCGCTCGTGGCCCCCGTACATGGCGGCGTCATGCGAACCGTCGTAGGTCCGCGGTCCGCCGAGGTGAATCGAATCCACGTCGGCCTCCCGCTGCGCGCTTCCCCCGCCGCTCGCGCTGAACAGCTTCGTCAAATCGTGGCCGTTCGATTGGCCCTTGGCAGCCGTCGATGCGCTCTGCCGCTGCGCGTCAGATCGCGGAGAGAATTTAAGCTTCAGAATATAGAGACCTTGTGCGACGACGAGTAGCAGTAGCAAGCGGCCGCACAGCTGGCCGCCGCCGCCGCCTCGCCCTGGCGCGCCTCGGTGGTGCGACAGGGCGGATGTGCCTCTGTGCGCCTGTGCGACCGCACGATGGTGCTGCGACGACGGGCGATTGGATCGCGACATGTGTGCGACCACTGCGAGCAGCAAGGTGTTACAATTGAGCGGGTAGGCTCATTTTCAGACAGAATAGAGGACGTGGCATTTGGAATATTCGGGTTTGGTGGGCAAGGGAGGCGGGACAGAATCTAGGAATTTCCCCCGGGAGATTTTATGGAAGGCAGATGTGAGAAACCGTTTTCTAGGTTGCCCATTTAGACAGTTCAGAACAATTTGAATGTACAAAAGCTACATGACAGACGGATAAGTACAGCCAAATAATAGTCATACCCCTCAACCCAATCCTACCATATTACAAATATCCTACATACAAAACAATGGTAATCAACGAGAAGGCATGCATTACTCGTGACAAAAGTATGCAATCCAATAGGAACTAACAAAGTGTCTGTATATTCACTTTAATGAATCAGCATTCTATTCTAGTGAATGGGGAAGAGATTACAAGGTATAGCTGCCTATCCTTGATAACTGGGACTGATTCAAGCCACCAACCATGGGTCATGATGCAGGGCAGCAGCCATGGGTCATGATGCTGTCATGACGAAGGCAACGGCCATGGTTGAGAACACCCAAGCACCAGCCATGGCACTTACACCTAGCCACTAAGCCCACCACTCCAGCGAACCAATCCAGAGCAACTGCCAGCTGTCCGTCGCGAAGCAATTACGAGCTAATCCTAGCTGCCCGACTTGGAGCTAACCCCAGCTACCTGACTTGGAGCAAATCCCAGCTGCCCGACGTGAAGCAAAACCCACCTGCTCAAGCTGCAGCCTCAACCTGAATGGAAGCCTCACTCTCACCGCTCTTGGCGGATTCCCTCTCCCCCAGCGCGGCCCTCAGCCTGCTCCGCAGCTCCCCACTCAGCCTCAGCGATTCCGCCACGCTCTCTGATTGCCACCCCTCTTCGATCTTGCTGGGCGTCGCGCTGGCGGAACCAGCGGACGCCGACTGCGCCACTCTTTCCGCCAGGGTTGCGCGGATTGCGCTCGCGCTGTCTCCCGCGCCTGCGCCTGCGGCTTCTTCGCTGCTGCGCGCGCGGGTCGCGCCTGCCTCCGCGGGCCCCGGCAGCAGCCCCGCGCGCACAAGCAGCGCTTCCTTGGCGGCGTCGGTGAACAGCTTCGCCGCCGCGCCGCCGCGCCGTTCCGCCAGCTCGGCGCGCAGCTGTTGCGCGGGCGTCAGCGCCCGCAGGGGAGTCTGCTGCGCGCCGAGGTATGACGTGGCGCTTGACGAAGGAGATACCCCCTGCCCGACGCACGAGGGGGAATTTTCTGAAAGGCTCACGACCCGCGAAGGGGAGGGGGCACGCGCAGATTGTGCGGATGTGGGGGTCCGGAGCGCGGAGGCGGAAGAGGCGGGGGAACAAGACACCCCGGCACGATGCGCGGAACGACGCACACGAGACAGCCGTGGAACAGAGGGGGGGCTTCCGCCATTGGAATCCGCGCTGGCGGCGGCGGGAGAAAGCGCGGAAGACCTTTGCGGGGAAGACACAATCTCAGAGCCGGACCCCTCGTCGTCGACCGGCATTAGCCCCACGCTTGAGGCCTGCGACGCGGTAGACTCTTTCTGCGGCGATTGTGCGATGGCCGGCGACTGGTTCTGCGACTGCGAGTTGGGCGACAGGAGAGTGAAGCCGTCGAGCCCCGCCTGCTTGAGAAGCGCGTCGCCCGAGTTGGCGAGGTCCGCCAGGGGGTTCGAGCGAGACCATGGCAACACCTCGCTGAATAGCCGCTGCCCCGATAGGAGATCCTGAATCAACGAGAACGCTCCGGCGGATGACGCGGCGCCGGAAGAAACGGAGGTGACGGAGGACGCGGGTTGCCGGTTCTCCGCGTTCGACGGCGAAGTTGGCGCTGGCGCCTTGGAGCCGAAAACTTCAGGAGAAGAAGGGGTGGCGGAGAGCGTAGGTTGCGTGACCGAGTCGTACATTTTGCGGATGGCAGGCGGCTCGTACGCGCGGATGCCGCGGCCGCTGATGAGACCCGCGTGCTCCCTGTCCTCTTGCTCGTGCATGTGGTGCAGCTGGAAGGATAGCTGCATATCCTCCTGCTTTATATTCTGGAACCGCTCCCTGATTATGGCGATATCTGCTTTAAATTCCGCGAGTTCCGCTTTTCGTCTGCGGCGGTCCGCGTCGCTGACGGTTAGGAGGGTCATTGGTGACGGCCTGGCTTGAAGAGCTTCGATATCCATTAGGAGGCGAGACTAGGACGAGAAACTAGGACGAAGTCGTAGCGACCGGACTAGGAATTACCTGACCACAGGACTATGTAACGACAATGGGAAGATCAAAGAACATGAATAGCAGGTGTCTGGTTGGGCAAGGGCTGGGTTTGACTGGTGCAGAGAGAGCACGAAGGAGCAGTGGACGAGGTGAGGGGAGGAGAAATGACCGCGACAAGTGAAACGACCATACGGAAAGTGGGTTTGGTTGGGTTAGGCTTGTTTTAGTTGGGTGGGGTGGAGTGGTGCGCTGCTTAACACGAAAATTTGGGTCGTTGAGATTGGATTGGTGGGGAGGGAATATGAGAGAAGGTCACGAGGGGAGCACGAAGGGCGGCGCTGGAATGAAAGCGACTCGAGAGGTTGATGTGGGCGACTCGTGATCCGACGGCGACGTGTTCCGGATGAGCTGACATTGGATGGCTCGGATGGGACAACTGACGGGTAGAGGCGGGGTGGCGGGAATGGGTGGCTGGACAAAAGTTGTATTCGATATGGTGTGTTTCGGCTTCGGTAACGCTTTAGTAATATTATTATCTCTTTACCGTACTTCTTTGAACAGTACCAGTAAGGAGTGTACTTCACGAGGTCTCATGTTGAACAGTCAATACTGAGCACGTGAGCTTCCCTGCGCTCCCAACTATTCGCGCCCCTTCCGGCACATTCTGAGGGTGAGGGAGGGGTGTCGCACGCAGATACAGGCGCTTTAGAGGTGACGGACGGGTCGCCTATGTGACACTCGCGCTTCGTGGCTATTTTGCTTTTCGAGCGCAACAGTCTGTAAATAAGAATCCATTTTTTGTCTCTTAATATTCTCGTCAAGGCACGCTGTTCGTGTCCTTCAAGCCCCATGGCACAAGCGCTGAAGCTGGTTCGCACCGCTCGGCGCGCTGCATCGCGCGCAGCTGACGCGGGCCCATCACCGCTTTCCGCCTTTTCCAATCCCGCGTCATCCCCGATATCTGCCTTCCGCAACACACCGCCCTCTCCGCTGATACTACCACGCCTTCCCCCGCCTTGCGCAGGCAGCCCCCTGCCCCCCAACCTATGCGCAGCCAGCGGAATAGAATTAGGCGCTTTCCGCACCCGGAATCCCCGCGCATTAGCCGCAGAGCATGCCTTTAGTGGCTTCCGCGCCCCCACTACCGCCTCGTTCGCCGCTGCGCCAGTTATCCCCGCCGCCACCCCACCACCCTCCGCTGCCCGTGCCGTTTCCGCCTTCCGCCACTTCCTTGCCGCGCCCGCGCCTTCCCCTTCACCATCCCTTCCGCCACCACCCGCCGTGCATTCCCGCGCAGCTGCGACCACAGGTGGGGGAGGAGCGCGCGTGAGGGGCATGAGCGGGGGGAGCGGGGGAAGCATCTATGTGAGATCGACGCGGGAGCCAAGCGGATTGGCATCCGTGCCGCTGGTGCCGCTCGTTCTCGGTCTAGCTGGCGCCATCCCATTCGTCGCCCTCGCTCCGCCCATATGCTCCCTCGTTCCCCTCCCTGTCAGTACCCCTCCTCTCCTCCTCTCCACCTCTTCTCCTCACCCCTCCTGCATCCCCTCTCCTCCTCTCCTCCCTCGCCCCTATTCCTCTCCTCCCGTCGCAATCACTCAACTGCCATACATCCCCTTGGCCCCTAGACGCTTTCCCTCCCTTCCAACCCCCTCCCCCCCCATTCACCCTCCTTTCCCCTCTCATCCCCTCGCTGCGCCCCATCCCTCGCAGGAGCTGCTGGCAAGCCAGCCAGCAGCAGCGCAGGCGGCGTATGGGGCAGTCATTCTCGCCTTTCTGGGGGGCCCGCACTGGGGGCTCGCCATGGCGCGATACGCTGCCAGTCAGTGCTGCCGCCCCTTGCTTTCCCCCCCCTGCTGCCTGCTTTCCCCCCCCTGCTGCCTGCTTTCCCCCCCCTGCTGCCTGCTTTCCCCCCCCTGCTGCCTGCTTTCCCCCCCCTGCTGCCTGCTTTCCCCCCCCTGCTGCCTGCTTTCCCCCCCCTGCTGCCTGCTTTCCCCCCCCTGCTGCCTGCTTTCCCCCCCCTGCTGCCTGCTTTCCCCCCCCTGCTGCCTGCTTTCCCCCCCCTGCTGCCTGCTTTCCCCCCCCTGCTGCCTGCCCTCCCCCCTCTGCTGCCTGCCCTCCCCCCCCTGCTGCCTGCCCTCCCCCCCCTGCTGCCTGCCCTCCTCCCTCTGCTGCCTGCCCTCCCCCCTCTGCTGCCTGCCCTCCTCCCCCTGCTGCCTGCCCTCCTCCCCCTGCTGCCTGCCCTCCTCCCCCTGCTGCCTGCCCTCCTCCCCCTGCTGCCTGCCCTCCTCCCCCTGCTGCCTGCCCTCCTCCCCCTGCTGCCTGCCCTCCTCCCCCTGCTGCCTGCCCTCCTCCCCCTGCTGCCTGCCCTCCTCCCCCTGCTGCCTGCCCTCCTCCCCCTGCTGCCTGCCCTCCTCCCCCTGCTGCCTGCCCTCCTCCCCCTGCTGCCTGCCCTCCCCCCTCTGCTGCCTGCCCTCCTCCCCCTGCTGCCTGCCCTCCTCCCCCTGCTGCCTGCCCTCCTCCCCCTGCTGCCTGCCCTCCCCCCTCTGCTGCCTGCCCTCCCCCCCCTGCTGCCTGCCCTCCTCCCCCTGCTGCCTGCCCTCCTCCCCCTGCTGCCTGCCCTCCCCCCTCTGCTGCCTGCCCTCCTCCCCCTGCTGCCTCCCTTCTCCCCCCCGCTGGCCTTGCTGCACAGCCCTGTCGTTCGCTCATTGTTTTCCTTCTCTCTCCACCCTGCCCCCTGCCCTTCTTTCTCTCCTCCCCTGCCTTTACCCGTCTTTTATCTCCTCCCCTTCCTCTCCGCCCTGCTCCACCGTACACAGCAACATCTGAGGCGAGTCTAGGCAACTTCTCAGTCTCAGCTGCACGGTGAGTGCTGTGCGGTGCTGTGCGATTGAGTGAGTGAGTGCTGTGCGTGCATTATCATCCATCTCAGCCATTTGCCTCTCCATCTCTATTCCTAATCTCAGCCGTCCATCGCTCTCCCCATATCCTCCCTCATCCCATGGCAGGAGTGTGGCGCCCTCAGAGCTGCTGGTGCCAGACGGCCCCAATTTCGCCCTCCTCTTCTCCTCCTTGTGCGCCCTCCGTCCATCCTTCTCCCCATACCCTCCCTCATCGCACGGCAGGTACACATGGAGTGTGGCGCCGTCCCTGGCTGCATGGGTGGCGCTGCTGCTGCCAGACGGCCCCAAATTCGCCCTCCTCCTCTCCTCCTTCCTCCTGGTACGTCGTCCTTCCCACTCTAGGGTGAAGGGAGATCCGTGCAATCCTGTTTTACGACATCCCCCTTCGCCCTTCGCCCTTCTCCCTTCGCTCTTCTCCCTTCACCTCCACTCAATCCCCCTTCACCCTGAATCTTCTCTGCTAATTTCTGATCCATGCCTTCCTCCATATTGCAATCTCGATCTGCCGTCACAGAGTCAGAGTCTATGAGACGCTTTACCCAAGCATGGCATGACAGTGCAATCTGCATCTGCACATCCCAACTCGTCCTTTTTCGTTCTCTCCTGTGTGCGAGCAGGTGTTGGGTGCAGACACAGTCTTTGCCCGCATGGCATTAGTGCCTTCCTGGTGACTTTTGAGTTGACTTTTGAGTTGACTTTTGAGTTGACTTTTGAGTTGACTTCTGAGTTGACTTTTGAGTTGACTTTTGAGTTGACTCTAAAGACTCCCAACTTGACCCTTGGCGTTCTCTCCTGTGTGCGAGCAGGTGTTGGGTGCAGACACAGTCTTTGCCCGCATGGCATTAGTGCCTTCCTGGTACGCTCCTTCCTGCCAATCCACATGCATGCAACTTCATTTCCATCCCATGCTGCAATCATCCATGCTGAATGCTTCCATATGGCCGTCTCTGGCATCCAGCATAACATGCCCGCCTCTGTCATCTGCTCCTGCTCTAGATCATCCCCTGCCTGTCACCCCTGCCACCCCTGCCACCCCTGCAACCCCTGCCACCCCTGTCCCCCTGCCATTCCCACCAGGTATCTGCCTCTCCGAGTGCTGCTCTCCTCCGTTGCTCTCCTCAGCCTCGCCGCCACCGCATTCACCGTCGTAACTGGCACCGCCATCTCACAATCATCTCCGCAATCCAGTGCCCACTCACAATCAACCCCTTCTGCCGCTCACTCAACTGCCGCGCCTTCGCCCACTGATCAGCAGCCCGTTCACTCCTCTCACCCCTCATCCACCCATCCTTCAACCTTTGAATCCTCTCCCTTAGCAAAGCAGTAACTTGCACCTGTAGTGTGTGGGCAGGATGGGCAGATCTCTCTAAGTGCAGAAGTAGCATCAAATGTTGCATGCACAGGATGCTGCGATTAGCTCATCCTCCAGTCGAACAGGAAGCTCTTGCACACAACATTTCTGTTCAATCAAAATAATGAAGTTGGCATCATCCTGTCCTTGTATTCCGCTGCATCGTACTTCTCAATCAGCACAGACATACAAACATACCGTATGGTCTGTGTAGTCTCAAATGCATACACCAAGTGGTCTTGAGATTAAGTCATGTTAGTGTGGGGCAAGACAACAGAAACAGATGACAACTTCTAAAGCTCACCCTCGTCCATTGGAATAAAAACTCTACTGGTGCTCATTCCAAACCACACCAAGCCAGACGTCCACAATACAGCTCTCTTTGCTTTTCAAGACTCATGTTCACCAAGTGATGGTTGCGTGAGACATATAGTTTCAGCTGACTTTAGACTTGGAAGGGGCTTTCCGCTTCCTGGATGCGAGCTTGGCTGCCGAGCTGCGCATTCCGAGGTAAACGAGTAGGGCTCCCACCAGAGAAAGATTCTGCAATGGTGGCACGAGGGAGAGGAAGAGCTGACTGGCGTAAGAATCAAACATAGGCCTGATTCGATTGCTGAGGGAGCAGAACAAGAGAAGACAGCTTGGCTGCAGATGCGCTTGCCAGGTAAACAGCAGGGCTCGGAACCGACATAGGTTCTGCACGGCACAGACATCATGGATGACGAACAGGCATCATGGATGCAACCTATGGAACGAGTCCTGCATATTCGTTGTAGTTAGAATGCTTAAGGATCCGAGTAGGAAAAAAGGGCGAAAACGGAGGGGAGGAGGGGTCAGATGAATCCAGGCGGGGGTAAGGATTTAGCATGGTAAAAAAGAAAAAAAAACATGAGAAGTTTACCTTAAGGAACTGGATGAACTCGTGGATGTATTCCGCACTTTCAGGCTTGAAGTTGTAGAAGTCATGCATGATGGGCGTCACTGCCACGAGGAAGAGCAGCTGGCGGTGACACAGCAGGGAATTCAAATGGGTGAACAGAACATATTGATGGGAATGGCAAGATAGACAAGTCTGATAAGCAAGGGCGTGAGAAGAATATGTAGAGCTAGACAAGTGTGTAGAGGCAAATGGAATATGTAGTGAAAACGATTGTGTACTGCTACAACGAATATGTAGTGGTAAGACACCGCTAGGACGAATCCTGGCTGGCTCGACAAATTATGGCAACTGATGGTAGGACGTTAGTGTGTCGCATGACATGGTAACAAGGTGACATTTGAGCCGCCGAAAAGGGACGTACCAGGAAGTATGCACCCAAGCTGCTTCCAATCGTAAATAGAATGCCACCCACTCCTTCCAGCACAATCGCTGTCAAGAGAAGAATCTTGGGCTGCAACCATAAGCGGTAAGTGATGGATAGAAACATGGAAACTAGAATTCCAGTAAGCAACCACTTCCAAGAACACGAACGCTACGGAAAGGCGCAGCGACTGACGGACATCACGAGGTCAGCAAAGAATGAAGCTTTGTGAGACTCACGTCAACATGCGGAACAGAGAGACCTAACGAATCCTTCAAGTGATTTTGAAACGTCTCCAGCTTCGGAGTCATGTTCTTCAACGCGGGTCCGCCATCGGGACCGAAGTCATTGAACCTGCGTCAACGCGGATCGGCATTCAGTATCGGCGGTATTTTTCACCATGGTTCAACAAAACTCGCACGGGCTTGTGCGAAGAAAAATACATCAGAATTCGATGCAAGTTCCCACTTTTGCCATGCTGCAAGGATGAAGATGGCGGAAAAGAAGACTCTCCCGATGAAGGACGCGAATCCCATGGCTGGGACTCTCAAATCGTAGCTTAAACTCGTGAAACTTCTTCTAGAAACCAGAATCGCGCGATCCCGAGTATGTGAGATAAGTGAGCCCGATGACGATTAATCTGAATCCCTAAATGGCGTGTGTTTCGCCGCCAGGTCTGCGCTACACCCGCTTGCACAGTATAGGTATTTGGAAAGAAGTTCTTCGGTCTATTGGGCTCCAAGGAGCCAGCAGTGTGCGAACATTTCACAAGACAAAAAGAATACGTAATCTCTAAACTTTTGAAATTGCTATCTGGAAAATAGAAACAAATCAAATCAGCATTTCTTTCACACATTGAGATGCACACAAACTATTAACACTGACACACTTGAGAGCCGCGAAAAAGTCTGCGGCTGTAAACTGAGGCACACAGAGAGCACGATCACACAACTCACTAAACACATGATAATGGCCTCCCTAGAGCCACAAACCTATGCACACAAAAAGTACAACAAACCAAAAGCGTTAGGCAAACCAAAAGGGATTAAAAGAGAAGCGAGGCAACACTCGGCATCGGGCTCTTTGCCCTGATGTGAACGCAAGACGCTAACAGACGCATGTGCAGCCGCACATGGCACGCCTGTGAGGGAAGGCAGCTCAGCAGCTGCGGCTCCAAGCCGCCGTTTGTATGCATGAACTCATGAAACAACGTACGAGTCATACGGTATGGCACCAGAAAAGGGTCCCCATGAGAACATGATGGCGCGAGAGTCTTGCGACAAGAAAAAAGAGGCGAGCGGAGAAGAGTGAATCTACGGCCGGGCGGCGATCTGCCCGCGACTCGCGCCTGAAGCCATGCCAGCAAGCCCTGCAGGCATGCCAGCAGCAGCCGAAAGCTGGTGGTGATACTGCTGCTGCTGCTGCTGTAGGTGCTGTTGCTGCTGCAGATGCTGTTGTTGCTGCTGGAGGTGTTGTTGCTGGTGCTGCATTTGCTGCTGTTGTTGCTGCTGCTGATGATGATGTTGCTGGTGCTGCTGGGTTTCATACTGTTGCTGTTGCTCCTGGTGTTGCGAGGCTGCAACTGCTTGTAACGAGGACGCCATTGATGCGGACAGAGTGATATCAGACGACGGGGACAGCGAAACCTCTCCTTCCACCCCGAGCAAAGTGCTGCCCCCGCCCCCTCCGCCCAGCAATCCTCCGCCCATGTGTAGCTCCCCCAGGGGCCCCATTATCCCGCCCATGTTTCCCCCTGCAGCAGCCGAGCCCGCGCCATGGGGTAGGGAATGGAATCCGGGGAGAAGCATCATTGCCCCGCCCATTCCGCCGCCCACAACGCCGGCCATACCACCGCCCACTCCACCCCCACTTGAGGCAGCCGCGGCTGCCGCGGCGGCGGCGGACATGGGGTCACCCCCGCTCCCCAACATCCCCATCATGCACGCGCTGCTTCCGCCCGTCGTTCCCGCCAGCAGCATTCCCCCCCCGTGCGGATCCATCTTCATGTCCACACCCGCGCTCATCGCTGTGCCCCCGCCGATGCTTGCGCTCAAGCCTGCGGCCATGCCCGCGCCCATGCCCGCGCTCATTCCGCCCGGCCCCATGCTCATCGCAAACGCGCCCATTCCGCCAGCCGCAGCGGCGGAGGAAGTGCCTGGCGGATGCGGCATCAGCGCAAGCATGCCGTGCGGAATGTGCATCGCGGGGAACGACCCGGGGAGGCCGAACCCGTTCATTCCCGCCATCATGCCGCCGCCGTACATGCCTCCGCCACCCAGCCCCACGCCCGCCATGCCTCCGCCGGTTCCCCCCACCGCGCCGCTGGCGGAAGCTGCAGCGGATGCGGGAACGGAAGGCGGGGAGGAGCGGGGGAGCAGCGAGGGGCTGCCGGTGGAGGGCGGAGAGCCGACGAGCGGAGCGGACGCGCAAGCCTCCCGCGGAGACATGGGCGAAACAGATGCGGTTCCGCCTGACGGCGTTGCGGCGAGCTGGGGAAGCGCGTGCGGGTGCGCGGAATGAGTTAGGTGCGCGGCAGGATGTTGCAGATGCGCCAGCTGCGCAGGCGATTGCGGCGCCAGCTGCGGCGCCAGCTGCGTCGCCTGCTGTGTCGGGTACATGGCGAGCGAGCCGGCGGCGATGGCAGCCGCCGTGCGACTGTGCAGCGACGAGTGGCGAGTGGGCGGCTGCGACCCCTGGCCACGGGAGAAAGAGAGCAGGAGCAAGAGTACGGGGAAAAACGGAAGATTAGAGGGTAAAGAAGGGAACGATAGCGGGTAAAGAGACATTGGGAACACGAGCGGGTCAACGCGACGCGACCAGGCAAGCGCCTGAGTAACAAATGGCTGGGGAAGGATAGCGATGGAGGAGCCAGGAACGGCTGCACGTGCGAAGCCGAGGGGCGAGAAAAGGGGCATGAAAGCGCGCGAGAGACGGGCATGAAAGCTGCCGTTAAGAAACAACCGTTGGGGGGATGCTGCTATGTAAAGCGCCGCGGAAGTACGCGGAACGCCGGGTGCAAAACGGTGTGGCAAGCGGAGGCGAAAGGAAAAAGAGAGCGCGGCTCGTACGGGGGAGCGGTAGGTGGTGCCGTCGGACTCGACGACCCAGCCGGCTTCCGCGGCGAGCGCTCGCAGAACGTCGTTGATGTCCGCCCTCGGCGGAAGGTTGTATCCGCCGTACTTGCGCAGGCCGGCAAAGATCTTCGTGGTTATGGCGCGGCGCTGCCGCTCGCGCAGTTTCGTCTTCTCCTTCTCGCTCTCCGTCAGCCGCGATGCGTCCCCGCCGTGCCCCCCCTCGCGCTTACACATGGCGGCCGAGGACGGCGACAGGTCCGCTGACGGCTTCATCCACCGGAAAGCGCGCTGCGGCGAGACTGGAGCGACTGAGTTTGGAAACTCGAGCGACCGAGCGAACGTGCTGCAGCGTGCAGCGTTCTGGAAACCGCTCGGTGCTCTGGTTGCGAGACTCGAGCGACCTATGGCCCCAGCTCGTGCTGGCTACTGTTTTAATCGACTAGCGATTAAGTAGCCCGCTACTGAACGCAACGTGCATAACCGTCGAGGGGAGGGCAGGCTTAGAAGCCACTAATGACACGACCAGACGAGAACACCAGGGACAGGTGGTTGCCAGGGAGGAATCCTGTGTTACCTTACGATCCTGGTTTTCCCTCGTGTGGCAAGTTGAATGTGGAAAGTGAGCGAAGATGTTCTGGTTGCAGCACCTTTTGCAAGAGAGATTGAGAATCGTGTGATGGAGAAAGGGCACGGGAGGAAGCGAGGGCGGGAGGCCATGGTGGCGTGACTGACGGCAGCAATAGTGGCGGGGCATGGAGGAAGAGGGGGACGAATGCAAAAGACCAGGCAAAGCCACCCACTCAGCTAATGCCCAACTCTTGCCAGAATGAACAGCCCAATCCATCCCAACCTTTTCCAAACCATCCCAAACAGTTTGATTCCCCATACAACCTCCCTGCGATGGGTTTCCCCAAACCACGCTCGGTGAGTTCGTTCCCCCAGCCCAGACAGACCTGACCTGGCGGAGATGGTACAGTAGGAGTGACTGCCATGCCATGACTTGATCGAGAGCCGTTGATACGCGGAGCAGCATTATGGGGAACAGTGGCGGAGATTCTTCCACAGCACCTCATTCACGGGTTGGACAAGTGGGGGAACGGAGGGGAAGAGTGTTAACGGGGGGGGGGGAGACGGGGGAGAGCTGGTGTTGGATGCCGCGCTGCGCGTCGAAAGGCAGAGGGGGGACGGGGTGCGGGTGGGGAAAGTCGTCTGAGGGGTTGGGGGGAAGGGAGGGTGGAGCAGAGGAGGATTTGGTGTGAGGAGGAACAGTTGGGGGGAAACTGGGGGGGATTGTGGAGAAAGTCGGAAAACATGCGCGCGCGCATGCGCGCTCCCATTTTGACGACGAGTGAAGCACGACCACACCTTATCCGAAAATCTTCCCGAGGTGGCTCGCCGAATGACAGGGAGACACAAGTTGATGATGACGTTCGCCGAGAATTTCACAATACAGCTCATACAAATGCTCAATACAGTATGGATTGGGAATCAAAATATGTTGACCAAAACAGGATGCAAGGACGAGGAAAACCCTACAGTAAGCAATTTTTCAAAATCTCCTCCAGCACCACTCACTGCCAAAACTTTTTGCTGTTGAACAAACCAGCAATCGCAATGATTGAATCGACAAAGGACTCGCACGTGACTGAACTCGTCGGAGAGGAACGTGATTCGTTCAAGGAGCCATATGACGCTGGAATTGACCTGGCAACGGCAGACGATGAGTCATTCTCTGATTCATCGGAGATCGGAAATCCTCTTCCCGAGTCTTTAGTAGGCGGACTTGCGACTCCATATAGCGCAGGTATATTAATATAGTAAATTACCAAAGAGACGTAGAAGCGTGATCACAACAGCTCCTTGTGTTAATCAAACTGATATTTGGCTATTGTGAACCTGGGATGCTGATCATTAGACTTGGTATGTACCCAAATACATTAACTCTTATCATCCCAATCAATTTATACCTAAAGGAAATACACAAATGCTTATGAGTTCAACGACTTGGTAATTAGAGCAGCAGAGTAATACCACTTGTCTCAACTGCAGTTCTGGTACTGACGCATATCAGCTTTTGGAAATAATTATATAATTACCACAATAGGGCATACAACAGCCATTCGATGAGCCTTCTGCTTCATGAATAAATCAAATTGGATTTGAGCCCCGATCCCCTGTACCACGCCCTAACGGCATTCCGTATCCTCGCCCCTTTGACATTCATCTTACTCCAAAGCCCAACAAACGTGAACCCATGGTCGGACGTCCCAGGCAAAAACGCCGCTGATTGTGGGTGGCCTTTCACGTACTCTTCCACAGTATCCAGCACATTTACCGCAACAGACAGCACCGAATCCCTCTCGGCATCCGTGCAGTGCTGCATCGGCTTCTGTGCAACCGGAATCACGCTCCTCATGTGGTCGCTCTGGAGCTGGCTGACTGTGATTGGCTGCGCGAGCAGCTCCGACAGGCACGTGTCAGCGTAGGTGAAATCGAGCGGCATCTGGTTGCCGATGACGGCTGCGTGGCGGTCGAAGAGGGAATTGGCGATGAAGACGGGGCGGGAGACAAAGCGCAGGGAGTATTGAGGGAAGAAGCAGCGCCACTGCGTGCTAGAGTTGTACTCTGGGGAGGGCAAGGGGTGGGGGATGGTGGGGGGAAGGAGAGGGTGGAGGGGGAGGGATGGTGAGGAATCGGGGGGGAATGGGGGAGAATGGGGGGAAATGGGGGGGAATGGGGAGGAATGGGGAGAAATGTGGAGGGATGGGGAAGAATGGGGGGGAGTGGGGGGGAAAGGGGAGGAATGGGGAGGAATGAGGAGGAACAGGGAGGAATGGGGAGGAACGGGAAGGAATGGGGAGGAATGAGGAGGAATGAGGAGGAATGAGGAGGAATGGGGAGGAATGGGGAGGAATGGGGAGGAATGGGGAGGAATGGGGAGGATTGGGGAGGATTGGGGAGGATTGGGGAGGATTGGGGAGGAATGGGGAGGAATGGGGAGGAATGTAGATGGGGAGGGGAGGGTGGAGGATTAGAAGAATGGGAAAGGGGGTGAGTGGGGGAAGAAAAGCAGATGAATGTGTAGAGGGGTGGGATTTGTGAGCAGTGCAGCGGCACCAGCAACCGAGGGGTAGGAAAATGGGATGGATAGATCGGGAGGAACGGAGGGGAAAGGGCAGAGTGAAGGAATTTGGAAGGTCAGGGATGGGCTACAAGGGGAAAGCGGAATGCGGTCACCTGCGCTGCAGCGGTCGCTCCCCTGGAATTGATGTATCGCCACCAGCTTCTGCGCCACTGACCGGAATCTCCGCCCGCCCTTGCGGTCGCGCGCGTCTGCTCGCGCGCACGGGGAGAGTCAGGTCGGGGGGGAGGGGGAGGAGTGAGAAGAGGGAAGGTAGATGGTGGTGTTGGCAGGGTGGGGGGAAGGAAGGGGGAAAGGGGGAGGGAAGGCGGGTGAAGTTGAAGGGAATGCAATAACGGGGAGTGGAGCAGGGAAAGGACTGAGAGCTCGCGATACAGTCACACAAGAAACACCAATTGTGTGCAGAGCTGTAGGCTTGGGCTTACCAACGAACACGCCCGAGTCCATGAGGCACTTGGTGGTGGCGCCCGGGAGCTGCGCCGCGACAAAGTCACAAAAGGTCGTCACTGCCTGCGCGCCCGCCGATGCCCCAGAGAGGAGAACCTGAGAGGCTGACGACATGCCACGTGTCGTTATGAGATCTGCGAGCGCGGCGATCGACAGGGAATGGCGGGAGGGCGAGCGGGGGAGGGGGGAGGGAAGGATGCAGCGAGCAAGGAAGGATTGGTAAGGGCGGGAAACGGAAGGGTGCGGGAATGCGATGAGGGATGGGGAAGGGTAAGGTGGGTATAACGACCAACCTGGAGAAAGGATAGGGAAGTCCGGGTGACTTTGATAATCGTCGAAACCCCCGGGCGTCGAAACGCTCCGAAGCTTCTGGGTGAAAACTCCGAAAATCCCCGACGTGCAAATGTCGAGGGCCGCACCGCCCGTGTACATCCTCGGGGGCGACGGTAACACACTCGCGGCACACCCGGTGGATCCATTACACTCTAAAGCGTAATTTTTTTAAAAGTACATACGTTCGGTTTCTCACCTCTAAGAATCGCACGGAGAACCTTCCGACCGTCCAGGTACAGCGACGGACCGCCCTGCACCGATCTCAACCCCGCCTTCCCTTGAAACCCGCCTCCGTCGCAATACACGGGCATGACGTAGTTCCAGTTAAAGAACAGCGGATTGGTCTTGGCCAGCGGGCTCATCATTCCCTTGCTCAGAAACTTTGACCACCGCCAATTCTTGTCCGCCTGCATGCGCGTGCTCCCCAGCGGCGTCTTCGCGCGGTCCGCGCAGTCCTCCATCGTCGCGCACCACCCCCCGATGGGCAGGTGGATGTGCCATGACTAGACCCCGCTGCCGCTGCCCGGCCGGAAGTAGTAACCTGGGGGACTGCGGGGCGGATCGCGGAATGGGGAGGGGAAGGGGCGCGGGGATTGGAGAGAGAGGAAGGAGGGGGTAAGGAGGTTCGGAGTTGTTCCTTTGTATACCATTCAACTCACTTGTACAGGACACGCACCCTTTCCGTCTTTTTAGCAGAAAGGCCACTCAATGGTGTACAAACAACATACGAGCCTGGGCTTTATGAAAGCGCGCCGCCCAAGCTGTGCCGCGCGGAGCTCGTAGTTAAGATCTAAACCGCAGGCATGTGTTCTCAACGCCTAGCGGGATTGATTTCCATCCCATATCGACTCATCGCGCGCGGCTGGTAGAGTGAAGGCCTCTAACCATCGGACGGTTCTTGATCGCTCTCTAGACGTACCTGCCGTCGAGGCATTTCGCGCCGAGGTCATTATTGGGCAAGAGGTAGAGATTCGTGTTGGGAACTCCCGACGGGATCGGACCCGTCGACGACGCACTCGCCGACGCGGTGGCTGCTGATACCTGCGCTAGAAGCGCCACGGCTAAACACACTGCCGCTGCTGTTGCTGCTGCTGCTGCTGCTGCTGCTGCTGCTGCTGCTGCTGCTGCTGCCATTTCCTAGCGTCTACGTGATTGAGTTTAATGGATTTCCTAGAGTATACAAGGTCTTGAAGGAATGCAAGGGATCGAAAGCGTGTCCTAGCGGAGAGCTTACTGTGGCCTAAGCAGCTTTGCCTAAAGAGACGTAATTACCACGTACACATAGAGCGTGACCTCACCAAGCAGCCCATGGCCTTTCGACGGCCTCGTATCGCACGACAAGAGCGTCTGTTAATGAGATCTAAACGAACGCGGATACCGAAGGATTGTGACAACATATGAAAGTGATATTGCCGAAGGATCGACCTATGTATGTCCTCAATCAACTGCCAAAAGGTCGTCGGTGGGGAGGGCGAGGTGGGAGGACATGGCCAATAGGAATAGGAAGAGCTATGTGTGGTGCCGAATAATCCTGATAAGAATGTGCCATGCGGGAGAGAGGTGAACTTCAGGCACGCGCCCAGCCTCTCTGCTTGGGGTGATTGACCAACATCGCGTTCCCCCCAGGGATGGATGACCACCTAGTGTGTTTCTCGGGCAGCACGCCTATTTCCCCAAAAAAATGTTGTACATTAGGCCTTCTTATCAACTCACGAATTGAGTTACCCCCGTTCCCACTAATCGTGTCCAATTGCATTCGAGGAATCATTCTGAACTTCCAGAATGCGAAAGACAGGTCATCTGGACCAGAAAATATATATACTGTATGAAGGTTTTCCAGGTATGCAAACGTCAAGAATGTCCGTGCCTGGGAAAGCTAGGTCTGGTCTACCGAGCGAGTGAGCGACACGCGCAGGATGAACGCGTTTCAATGAGCCGCGTACTGTATGCAAGGGAGAAGATGGAGGGCCTCACCAGCTTGTCGCTCGCCTCAATGCGTGAAACAAACTCGCCAAACGATTAATTATCTCGCTTGCATTCGCATTGAATCGTCAATTTCCTCGCCAGTTCGCTTTGCTGAAATTGACATCTCCAAGGTTACACCGTTTCACTGCCTTCGTTAGTCTTCCAGCTTTCAGGGACCCAGCTCATTCAGAAAAGAATTGAGACTCGTACCCGCGGCTCGAGACATAAATTTGAATTGCGACTCGCGTTGAACTTCGAAAGAAGTGGCGCACTGCCCGGCACCCAACCAGGTTCAAAGAGTTCCGTGGTTCCTCGGCATTCCCGCGGTCCGCTTTGCAAGGCGGGATCTGAATTCGCGCGACGAATCCCCGACTCCATTCAAGACGGAATTGTCCTCGTTATCACGCTTGAATGAGGCATTATGAAAATGAGCTAATACAAACATGTAAGCCTATAAAGCCCTTATTATCCGTATAAAAACATGCGCTCGACAACAAGCACTAGAGTTTGCAAGCACAAGTTCCATTTCCAACTCAAAAGTAGAGCTTTCCCCCCCAAAGTTTTCCCTTGAACCAGCCAACAACGGCGTCCTTCATGTATGTGCTATTATGTGGGGGGCTAAACCACTGAGACGTAGTGGTTACGCAATGACCCACGCAATCAGTCGCTAGGAATGCCAGTACATTCATCTCATTTGCCACCAAGCTCTTCAGCTTTATGAACAAATCTGACACAGTAGACTGTATTGTAATGCGGGAAGTAGAATCACACTCCCCCGGCTTCGCATTGAAGGGCTTCCATTGGTTGGAAACCACAGCCTTTTGCAGGTCCTTCTGCTCCCATATAATTTGTCGAAGGCACCTGTTGTTGACTTGGAATGTTGTATTCCTCAGCTGGTTATACAGCTGAAGGGCGGTGTAGTCAAATAGAGCATTGGTGATAAACAACGGCCTTGAGACTGTCTTTAGCGAGTATTCTGGAAGCAGGCACTTCCATGGTTCCGTACCTGTAAGTTCAAACACAGTCAAAACAGAAAAAACGGGATTTAGTAAATATAATGCAATTTGCTATGTAAGGTTGTGTAACAGTTGGTGGTTACCTTGGCTGCATTTGCTGTCGGCGAATCTATGCAGGGAAGCAACACTCTGTATTGTTGACCTGAAAGTGAAACCGTTTCGCCGGTCCTTTGCGTCTGTACGGAGAGAACAAGGCGGGGGAGATGGAGAAGCAGGCTGGGGCTGAACAAGACGAAGGCGGCCAAGAAGGGTCCAATGCGCTCATATGAATGGAACGATAATGATAGATGAACAGCCCATCAAACAGTTGCTGCTGTCTCTCTGTCAAGGAGTGGTGGCCATGGAGAAACTGCCATCTGCATACAGCAGCAGCTTCTAGCAAATCCTGTACTGCGCTGCCCTCTTACAACGAAATGATGATATTATTTTGAGATGTCTCAAACAAATTCGTTATCACGTGAAACGCCTTGTTGTTGGCGAACTTGACATTGGTCCTAGGATTTGAGCTCTACTGTGCTGCTGGCATTTGAGCTCTTACCTAGAAAGAACGCTCCATCATTGAGGCACTTGATGCTGGACATGTGATTTAAGATGTCCCTTTACGGCCATGTGCTCTCCTCTCCTCTCACCAAGGAAAAAGGCTCCATCAATGAGGCACTTGACGTTGGCCTTGGGATGCGCGGCGGCCACGGAGTCGCAGATGCGCGTGACTGGGAATCCGCCCGCAGAGCAGCCTGAGATGAGGATCCGCGGCGCCCCCGCCATGCCGTTCTGCGTCCCGTTGAGATCTGCGCGGAGGGGAGGAAAGAGAGGGAAGAAGGGAGAAGGGAGAAGGGAGTAGGGAGCACGGGAGATGGTAAATGGGAGAAGAGAAGATAGGTGGAAAGAAGAAGAGAGAGTTGGAGGAGACGGAGAGGGATCCATAGAGATGGAGAGAGGCGGAGAAGGACCTTTGTGGGGAGAAAAGGGTGCTGGATTTACGGCAGACAGGGAATCGTCATCTGGAATTCACCACAGCAACGACACAGGGGGCAAGCACGTTGGCTCGTACCCGTTACTTTAGTAACAAGCACACTCAGCACCCCACACGCAGCTATGCTGGAGTTTTGAGTCGACTCAGAAGTCTACGCGGGGCAAGCATTTTGAGAGTCGTACCCACTATATTAGTGACTAGCACGCTGAGCGCCCCACCCGCAGCTATGTTGGATCTTACCCGCCAATTCACCGGCAAGCACGCAGCACGCTTACCACTTAGCACGGCTTTAACGATCGCGTCGCCTTGCATGAACAGCGTCGCGCCTTTCCCGTTGCCCTTCACTGTGACCTTCCCTGCGGTACCCGCGTAGCCCCCGCCGTCGCAATACGCGAGGAGCGCGAGATTCCAGTTGTAAAAGAGCTTGTTTTCCGGCTGACGGGCAGATAAAATTCCCGTCAGCTGCTCTCCCACCCATGATCCCTGGATGAACGAGGGGAGAGATTTTGTGAGACGGTGCCGCATTACGTCTGGCTAATATGAGCCCCTCGTTTCATTCAAGGACACGTGAAATTTGAGATTTCAACAAGCGCCAAGCTAAGTTCTTTGCGCCCGTTCTAGTATGCGCGGTCTCAGTTGCTCTCGCTCTGTCACGCATCAGTCCCGCTCACCTGCGACGATTGCGGCATGTACTTTGTCGATCCGAGAAACGTCGTCGCACGCGCTGCACACTCGTCGCGCGTCGCACACCATCCGCCGCCAGGGAAGTGGATGTGCCACGACTTGGCTCCATTGCCGTAGCCCACGCGGCGGTAGTACCCAGGCGGACTGCGGGGAGGACGTGGCGTGAGGGGAAACCACGACAATATACTCGGTCGCTCAGCAACCATAGTGCCCTGAAAAGGGAAATGATCGAGACTATCCATCTGACGGTGGCACCCAGGCGGGCTGAGGGGAGGCGCGCGACAGTTGCAAGACGAAACACGACAGCACAACGAATCGTTGGAGAATGGTTGCATTACTGGGTTCCTAATAGGAGATGACAGCTATGTTGCATTAACCACAGAGCGCACCAAAAAGGAAAAAGAAAAAAACTCTTTATTTTGCAGAACAAGACTCTCTGACTCAGAGTCGACTAATCTATCGAGGTCGAACTGGCTACAGAGACGACTAAGCAAAGAAATATCCGAACCTGCCATCGAGGCATTTCGCGCGGAACGAATTGTTGCGCAGCAGAACGAGCCGCGCGATCCCGTCATTGCCTGGTACCCCGCCGACATTCGCGCTCGCCTTGACCTTGCTTGAACTCCCCTTTGCACCGCTCGCCTTTCCGCTGCTCTTTCCGCTGCCTTTCGCGCCACCCTGAGGACTAGCACCGCTTGTAAATTCCGCGAAAATTATCAGCAAGAGGGCGAGAGCCATGCACAAGCACAATCCCAACAGTGGTCGCCTTCGCGCCAATCGTTCTCCTGCCACCCTCCGTCTCTCGATCCCTTGACGCGCTCGC